AATTTGTAGAAGATATTCTCATAATAATCAAAATAATTTTAATATCTTTTATTAGCTTGCACAAAGATAAAATTATTTTCAAAAATAAATTTTTATTTATTATTTAAGACTCGTTTTTAATGTAAAAATAAAAACAAAATTATCATTTTAACATTAACAAAAAAATATATAATAATTGATTTACTATTAATTAAGTATTTAGCATGGTAATTCCATATATTTGCGTGAGGTTTAACCCTTGTTTGAAAAAGCGCTAGGCGTTAGTCGGGCGTTCGGTATGGGCCTAGCGATTAATCGGAAAATCGTATTAAAATCGGAAATTAATTGGAGACTGGTTTTAGGGTTATTTTAATATTTTTAAAACATATTAATTTAATATTGTTTTCAAAATTGCAGTAAATATATAAAAATATATTTTTGAGATAAATGTTTATGATTTTTATTAAAAATTTATGATTTTTATTAAAATTTGAATATAAGTTATTGTAAAACATCACAAATCCCAATTCAAATGATTGAATAACAAAAATAAAAAGTTTTTTTTATACTTGGAATCTGAAAATAATTGGAATATGTAAGATTAGGCGGGGAGTAATCGGATTAGGCGGCAAGTAATCGGATTAGGCGGCAAGTAATCGGATTAGGCGGAGAGTAATCGGGTAACTGATTTCTTTAGGAGATTAGTTATTAATCGAGGCGGATGGGATGAGTCTAGCAATTAAGCGGTGAGTAATCGGGTTAGACGGGTATTTTTAAAACAGGGGTTTAACGAATGGGTTGCTACTTGATATTATATCCAAAACCGATAATAAGATTTTATTAATGGACCAAATAGTAACCAGGCCCAATGGGCTAAATCGTTTATTTTATAGTCTTGTGTGATATGATCTGTCATGCCACGTCATAGGCATGATCCATAACGAATTGATAAAACTCTACGGTTGTCCAAGTTCGGACAAAACATCTGAAACACTCCCATGGCTTCGCTTCCTGTTCAATTCACGAGGAATCATTTCTCTTCACCGTTTTTCTCCGTTAAACTCCGCCGTGAGCCGAGATCTTTAGTAACAGTAGTACATTGCTCCGGTAAATTTCTTCTTATTTCTCTGCTTTTATTGGTTTTTCAAGATCTTTCTTCTACTTCTTCTTGGTTTTGCGATTCTTCGAAATTTAAGTAGTTTCAAGAATCTTTAGCTTTACCTGCACCTAATTCATCTGTATAGATGGGTTTATCATAGTTCAAAACTCTAATCAGACCCTAAATGTTTCTATAAAGTTGAATTGTCTTGTTTTCATTGATATTGTCTGGTTTTGATTTCGACATAATGTGATTCTCACAGTCTGTTATCAAATCGTATATAGCTCTTGTAATGTCTGAATCTTGCTTTTTATGTGAAGCTAAAGTAGTGAATGTGAATAATGTTTTTTTCTTGATTTGTATTATGTTCTCAGCTGGAGAAAACAGAGAAAATGGTGATGGTATCAAGAAGAGTCTGTTGCCGATAAAGGAGCTTGGAAGTATCGCTTGCGCTGCTCTTTGTGCTTGCACTCTTACTATGGCTTCTCCTGTAATTGCTGCTAACCAGGTCAGTCACATTATATGGCTCTTTCTCTTCTTCTCTAGGTTTGTGTCTGCATAGGAACTTGGATTAAAGATGGCTATGTTTTAGAATTTCAAGAAGTGGATTAATGGTTTGTTTTTCAGAGACTTCCTCCACTATCAACAGAACCAGACCGGTGTGAAAAAGCATTCGTTGGTAACACGATAGGTCAAGCAAATGGTGTTTATGACAAACCGCTAGATCTTAGGTTCTGTGATTACACAAACGATCAGACTAATCTCAAAGGCAAGACTCTCTCTGCAGCCTTGATGGTAGGAGCTAAGTTTGATGGTGCAGATATGACTGAAGTTGTTATGTCAAAAGCTTATGCCGTTGAAGCAAGCTTTAAGGGTATATAGACTTAAATCTTGAAATGTGAAAGCATTTTGGCAAGTATGAACCAAAATGTTAATAATGTTTAGTTTGATGATCTTGTAGGGGTGAATTTCACGAATGCTGTTATCGATCGGGTGAATTTTGGGAAATCGAATTTGAAAGGTGCGGTGTTCAGGAACACGGTGTTATCCGGTTCGACATTCGAGGAGGCAAATTTGGAGGATGTGGTCTTTGAGGACACAATCATTGGTTACATAGACCTTCAGAAAATATGTAGGAACGAGTCGATAAACGAAGAAGGAAGACTTGTGTTGGGTTGCCGATAGAGAAGAGAGAAAGATTTGATTTGAATGTATTATATATGTAAGATTTGAGATTTGACACAAAGATGTATGAATCAAAGTAAGTAAAGGTTCAAGGATAGGAGTCAAGAGAGTTACGAGAGGTTGTATAATCAAATTCTTGTAAATTCTGTAACCAAACAAAAGGCATTTTCTCTGTTCTCTTCAATAATTTACATACACGTATTTTAAGTGTTAATATGTAAAAGTCATCTCATCTGAAGTTACAGAAAAGGAAAGACAGCAGATTATTTTGTCCATGCCTTTGAATAAATCACCAGGCCCTGATGGGTTTACGGCTGAGTTCGTCAAGAGTGCTTGGCCGATAATCGGCAATGACCTCACCACGGCAATCCAATCTTTCTTCAAATTTGGTTTCTTGCCTAAGGGACTGAATACTACGATCTTAGCGCTTATCCCAAAGAAAACATATGCTAAGGAGATGAAAGATTATCGCCCTATTTCTTGTTGCAATGTTCTTTACAAAACCATCTCCAAGATCATCGCTAATAGGCTGAAAACTAGTCCGCTTTCAACAAAGTCCATTAGCATTACTAATGGTGAGTTTTCCGAGCTGATAAGCATGGACGATGGAACAAGGAAGAGTTTGCAGCAAGATGAGAAGCCATTAGAGAGAAGCAGAAGAGAGGATCTTACAAACGCAGGTTTCCCAAGCCAGAGCTTCGACAGCCGGGTGAGAAGCAGAGACATTAATAAATGAAGAGCAAGAGAGTTAAAAATAAAACCTAATACCAGCGAAAACATCTCATTTTCATTTCTCCACCAAAAACCCCCATTAATACAATGATTGGCATTGCCCACCAAGTTTTTAGTCAAGGGTTTTATGCTTGTTGGAGATACACTACTGAACTAATACGACGCCCATTATTGAAGGATTTATCAGAAGTCACAGAACTGTTGGGCTTAAGAAATCACGAAGCCCATTAATAATGACACAAGTCTAATGAAGATTTGAAAAAAAAAATCACGAAGATTTGCTTCATCATAATAGGAAATGATGAAGCAAATAAATGATTGAGATGTTTTGATTCTTTGGTTTTTTCGTTATTTAATATTTATCCAGATCTGTGTTAGGAAATGATTTGATTTCTGTCTTAATAATAAGATTTCAAATTAATTATGATAGGAAACGATTTACCCACATGATGAGTTTGATCAGTCAAATGTGTTGATGCCCTGGAACATCAAAAATGCACCAGTTCCTCACGGTTATCCGGCAGATCTTGTGAGCGTGAGAGTTGTTGAGAAAAATGGTTATGGGCCGGGTTACCATGTTTGCCATTGCTGCCAACCACTATCGTGTGCCTTTCAGGATTCAAAATAAGTAAATGATACCATAGCCAGTTCATTACAACCACTTATACGACAAGTGTCATAACAACGCTGTGGACCGAACCATTATTAAGAAGATACGTAGAAGGGCGGGAGGAAGAGATTATAGCATTGTCATCTTATCTTCAAGGGATGACGAGTTCATTGACATTGTTAACGAGATCGATTTCAATGGCTTCAATGTTCTTCTCATCTACCAACCGCACAATGTGTGTTAATAATCATTAAATGTCAAATTAGTTATGCATAAATTTATTAAATGATTCATTCAAGAAATGATTCAGATGTTTTGATGCTTTGGATTTTTCCTTATTTATTTATTTTTTTTGTTTTTTTTCTTGTTTATGTGCGTTTAATCATACTCCCTCTGTTCCTAGAAGATTGATGTTCTAGAGTTTTCACATATATTAAGAAACAATCATTGTTTAATTATTTGTCAATTACTTTTTTTATACTAAACATTTTTTAATAACTTTGAACCAATAGTATTAGAAAACAGTTAATCATTACGTCTTGAAGTTTACGATATATTAATTTTAATCAATTAAAAATAAAACAAAAATCTAAAAAATCAAACTTTGTGGAACAAACTAAAACTCTAAAACATCAAATATCTAGGAACAGAGGGAGTATTAGATTTCGAAATACTTATGCACAAATTTAGAAAATGATTCATCCAAGGAATGATTTAGAAAATGATTCATCCAAGGAATGACCCTCAACAAGAGAATAAACATAATCCAAACGAAGATTCCAACACCGATATCTGCGGCTGCGAAAATCCAAAGGTTCGTTTCTTCCTTATTTAATACTTACGCTTCTTTCGTTTTTTACTCGTTTAATCATTAGATTTCGAATTAATTATGCATAAATTTAGGAAATGATTCATCCAAGAAATTATATGTATGGTTGTGAAACATGTCTAACCAACCCCCAAGTGTTTTGTATGATTATGGACATGGTAGTCATAACTGATATAAATATAAAAAATAAGATATGGCTATTGTTAACAAAAGCGCATCTGGTGTAGTGGTATCATAGTACCCTCCCACGGTACTGACCAGGGTTCGATTCCCTGGATGCGCAGTTTTTTATTTTTATATAATTTTTTTGCATTTTAGTTTTATATTTTGGTTAAATTCTATTGTGGCATCAGCAATTGCGATCTTTCTTCATTTGCACTGTGCTATAATAGCGACATAGAAATTTTCAAGCTATGATTAAATCTGTATATCTGTGCACTGTGCGATCTTTTTCTTTTAGTCAAGCTGTTAAAAGTTTTTGTTATTATGTGTTTGAGATTGAAAATGATCGAACAACTATGTAAAATATTGTATATGTTAGTCGCATTTATAATACTATACAGAACTAAAAATAACCACAACACTCTTTATTTATTTTCTGATATAACGGAGTACACAGAATATAATTAATGACTATATATATGTCAATGAAATAGATGGTAATAAATAAGGATTTAGTATCTCTTGTCACTAGACACTAATCCTTTCACGAACGTGTTTCCGGAGGGTATTTTACACTGATCTCATCCTCAAACAAAAAGAGTCAGAAATGGAGGATACATCACATACATACATTCATATATGATATATATAGATATTCGTGCATGTACTTATATATATGCTACTATAATATATATGGATAGAGAGAGCGATGATCGTGTTGATGATTCAACCCTTGCCCCCGGGCCTTCTTCTTGGGTCATGTTTAGGGTTGGGCCCTGCGTCGTCGTAGTCCGCTGTCGAGTGGAACATCAACTTCCTATGAGTCATCTTCTTCACTTCCACTTCCTCACTCTTTTTTAATTACAAACCCATAAATTCTTGTCAATATTTGAACACACAACAACATGCATTTCTAATGTTTATAAGCACATACATATATAAACGTAAAACGTCTACATGTATGATGTATACCTTGTAAAAAAAACAAAAACAAATGATGTATACCTTGTAAAGCATGGAACTCTCATGCATCTTCGCACCTCCGAGCTGGATAGAGCCTTCCACTATGGCTAAAAGAAAACATTGTATTAGCGGATTATATATTCTTCTTTTAAGTGATTTATTTCAACACATATATACAAGTTAGTTAGATGTGTTTTAATTTTGGAGAAAGAATGGAAAAAGTCTTCCAATATAATAGTAATTAGTCAAATGGTATTAAGGTAGTTTGAGGCACTCGATGAGTCGATTCAACAATGAAGAGAAGACGAATGTTCAACAAGATGATCCAAAAGCTGATCTCGGACTAAGATGGATAGTGTTGGGGCGACTTAAGGTCGATAATCATCCCTTAAAAACAAAGTTCAAAGACTATAAATTGAAATGATGGAATAGGAATATGTTTACCTAATGATGAAGAGCAAACAATGAGAATGAGGAAGAGGAGAGATAGGGGTTTGATCCTAAGAGGCATTATATATGTTTTTTGATGATCACTCATGTTCGTTTAGGAAAGAATTAATGCAATTAGAGGAGAAAATGGGGTTTCATATGAAAGAGAGGAGAAGGCTAGTTTCCATTTTATAAACGGTCAAGTTTATGTGGTGGAAACTGTTATGGTCCATATAGAACATTAGTCTTAATGGTGATGATGATGACTATGACAATGATGATGACCATGACTAAGATGGTTGAATCTGTTTATGACAATGAAAACATGTAAAGCCCTTATCAAAATAACTTTTTTAAATAAGAATATCACGTGAATATCAACATTATTTTCATCGCAAAACAAAAAAAGTTAAAAACAGTGGTGTGAGACTAACATCAAAATGGTGATGATAGTAGCAAGAAAAAAAAGAAAGAAAGAATAATGAGATGAATATCTTATATAAGAAGATATTGGGATAACGCAATGAACCCACAAACCCTAGAAAAAGTTGAAAATAGTCAACTCAACTGTTGATTGTGTTACATCTCCCAAAAAGGAACACTTAACGTTTACCTCTATTTATGCTTGTGGACAAAAATCGTATATTATTAGCTATAGTAACCACACTTTTTTTTCTTTCTCGCATGACATTTGTTCAAATTTCAAATTCTGTATATCGTGTAGTATGTCTTATGATTATGTTAAATTAACTAGACAATACTAGATTAATTAGACAAACCCTTAACTAATTGAGGGAGACCAAACAAAAATATGGCATTTCTTTTAGCCTTTTTTTTGTTTGCCAATAAATTTTTACATCTGTTTTTATGTATAAAACACTATAATCGATAAATAAATAGTTTACTATATTTTATTTGAGTATAAATGACTAACTGTAAATGTTTGTAAACCAAGTGAAGTGGGAACCATCACATACTTGAAAGTCATCCTGTAAGGATATTTATGTGGATCAAATTCATAATGAAAAAGGGTTTGTTTGATGAAAGAAAAGTGGCCTAATTTGTTAACTTAAGTGGAAGTTCCTCTCTTGACCATATAGATTTCCATTACTATATATCCTTTTGAGTTTGTTTAGAAATTTTCAAATGATTCCTCCTAAGTTTCATTAAAAAAGAAAACTCTTTTTTTTGTCACCATTCAAATCGGTTTCTCTAAACACCATCTCTAATATTCTAGTTCTTAGTTCTAATTAAGTGATGTTTCATTCTAGATGAGTTTAGTCAAAACCAATATATTTTCTTAATGAAAAAGTTTCATTTTGGTTACATGATCGGTTTTAATCTAAGGTTTAACTTTGAAGCCCATTGTTTTCACCACTTTTTCCCATACAGCTGTAATGTATCATAGGTTCGATGAGTGCACCACCACGTGTGATCATAAGTCTACTTATCGACGCAAAATTTTATTGGAATTGAATTCTGCAAAGATAATTGGGTCCATTATCAAAAGTAAGATGGAATCATACCAAACTCGTACGTAATTATTTTTAGTTTTAATGCTGTTAATGAATCAAAACGAAAGTGAAGTTTTGTATCAAGGGTACATACTTTTCAAACAAAGACCCAAACTTGAACACTTAAGATTTATGCAATAATTATTTTCAAAACCTTTTAATCCAATTTGTGTTTAAAATTTTGGTTGTTATGTTAAAAACACTGATATAGTTGACATATTAGAACAAGGATCAGCATATATATATTGTGCTAATATTATAACATAAAATTTAAATGTGAAATAAAAACATTTTCCTTGCGGTAAATGTAAAAGTTACAATGATTGAAATATATAGACTAATTCAGTCAAAATCGATCAAGTACTTAAACCAACATGGTAGGCAATTCCAAGACAGAGAAATAAAGTAATTAGGAAGTCAAAAGATGGTTAGGGCAGATTTAAAAATCCGTGGTACCAAACACTAAATAATTTGATACAAATTATAAAGAGAAATAGTGGAACTAATCCTTCCATTGCGGCCTTCACAACTTTAAAAGAAGTCAACTAGGATTGAGACAGACATAGCGAGTGGCCTGCAAATGTATCAGAGAAGTGCATCTTTTTAAGTGACCCATTATAGTGAGCGACCACTATCCCCCAAAAATCTTATTTTATAATAAACATCGCGTCTCATAATATATATTATGTATGTTGACCTAAAATCCCAAAATCTAAAGAAATTTTACCCCCAAAAAGTCACCATATGAATGGTTATATATATTTCACCATAACCATTAGTAGATGTAGAGCATTTATAAGTTGTTTCTTTTTTTTTACTTACTGGTGAATGGTGATTTAACTATATATGTAAATTGGTGTTAGACTACTTTTTCATAATATTAGTTTAGTCATCTTTAACTATATAACCGATGTCATTTAACACACGTACGTGCAACTCTTCTTAGGCCTGGGCACAAGGCAAGTACTTGCTATTTTTCAAGTACTTGTGACTCGCCTTGGCCCGTACAAGTAATTGAAAATTTGGTTTGATACTCGACTCGTTTGAGCAAGTACTTGCTATAACAAGTACTCGTCCAAAATTTTGTTACTTGCAAGTAACTTGACCTGACTTGTTACTTGCAAGGTAACTTGACTTGGCTTGTTACTTGCAAGTACTTGTTACTTAAATCTTGAAGTCTTGAACATTTAATTTAAATAAAAAACCAATCTCATACATATTATAAAACATTCAGAATTTTAAACATCATAAAATCGCAAAACATCCTAGAATCACAACACATTGAAAGTTCCAAAAGATAAGCATTTTAAAACAACTTGGTTCAAATTGAAAATCATGTCTCTGTCTTCCTTCTTGAGTTATTGTCTTCTTGATTCTCTTTTTCTTCCATATAAATAAAACCAACATAACAAATGTTACTATTAGTGTATTACGCTTTAAAACAAAACTGGAAAATCATGAAGTATCTTGTAATACAAAACGGGACGAGTAGTGGAGCGAGTAACGGGGCGAGTAACGGAGCGAGTATCGAAACGGGGCGAGTAACGAGCCAAGTATCAAAAAAATTTATGATACTTGATACTTGACCCTTACTTGCAAGTAATGGAATTATACTACTTGGTACTTGTCTTGACAATACCGGGTACTTGTTTTTTCAAGGCGAATACGAGCCGAGTAGCGAGTATCAACCGAGTAACGAATATCAACTGAGTAACGAGTACTTGTGCCCAGGCCTAACTCTTCTGTCCGAAGTCACACAGTTTATGCAGACACAGTAGTTTAATTAAGAGTTTAAGACTATGCATGACTTCACAAAAAAAAATAAAAATAGGGAAAACATGAGTAGGAAAAAAAAAATCAATGTGTCGGCAATTATATGTTGCGTTTAAAAGGAGTGATGAATAAAAAACCAGTAATGAACCACTAAATTAGCAATGTTTTATTGGGAAATAACGTATGTACGCCAATGATAAATCACGAGACACCCTTTTTATTTTCTTTAAAATGCATCCGTTTCTTATTTTTCAGAGAGTTTTCCCAAGTAAATCAAGTTACATAATAAAAATAAATATAAAAAATAAAAAAAGTAATAAATTTTGCATCGAAAACTGAAAACGACAACTAATTAAAAACAAAAAAAATTTCTCTAAAACGACAACTATTCGAAAACGGAGGGAGTAATGAACCACTAAATTAGCAATGTTTTATTGGGAAATAACGTATGTACGCCAATGATAAATCACGAGACACCCTTTTTATTTTCTTTAAAATGCATCCGTTTCTTATTTTTCAGAGAGTTTTCCCAAGTGGTGTTAATCTTCTGAGAATGTAATTACTTTTTTTTTTTTTAAATGTATTGACAAAAATAAGTTAAATAATAGATATTAAAACAAAATTTGGAGCTCTTTTTTGTCGAATTTGGAGCTCTTTTTTGTCGCAAGAAGTTCATGGACTAATCAATAATTATGTTTCTTATGTCGGGAGATATCGACCATCAAAGATCTTTCACATTTTTGGCAGTTTCAGCTGACGACTCTCATATATCTTTCGGTGGTATTGAATTTAAAGACTAAAGGTAAAGTTAAAAGTATCAAAATAAAGTATTAACGCCGTAATGAAGTTATTTGAATATGAAAAAAATCGTCGCGGACGACATAAATGTGTTGTTTTTTTTGTGTGAGTATCAGTGTATGTGATATATGTGGGTGTGCTTGGACAAGTCTTTTGACAATAGAAATTAGAAAAGGCCCACTTCTTATTACTTTTTCAACTCCAATTTTAAGTCAGAGTGGCGTGTCCTATTTCTCTTGGATGTTTACCTATTATATCTATCTTTTATTTGTTTTTTTTTGTTTTTGTAATGAAAGATAGTACAGAGTCCATAGTGAAATCTAAATGAGTATGTATGTCATCACGATGAAATAAAAAAGATACCAACAGAAACAAAGTTTCTCGCGTAAATCAATTCGAAAAAAATGTGTGCAATGACTTTTGATGTTATATATCTAATAGTTCAAGAGAAAAATCTGAGAGTCCGACAGAAAAAATGTTTTGTACTAATACATAGAACCGAGAGAAACTAATTTAAACCATAACTTGAATGGTCTAGAATGTTTCAAAAACACATGAAAACATTTTCAAAATATAGGTTCTGTATCGGTTACATTTGGCATTTGTTTAAAATGTCTAAAACATAAAGGATCATTTGGAAAACCAAAAAAAGCAACACAAACAATCAAAATTGAGGTAATTCATAAACGAGATTGTAAGCAACGTGATGTGAAATGTTCTTCTTCTCTTAACTTGACTCTTTGGAAGCAGAGCACGGCAGGGCGTTTTCTCCTATTAACATGTGACCTTTCCCATATAATTCGAGCCAAATCAAATAATGGAATCTAAAAGATTAAAAACAGTTTCATTCTAAAATAAATAGACGTGGACCTCTTCAAGACCCTAAGACATGACACCATATAAATGTTCCTGTATGTGACATAATATATAAACTTTAATTGCAAAACAAAACACAAGTATATATGCAAAAACCCCAAAACTGCATAACAAAGAGAAGAGAGACAGACATGTGAAACTTCTTTATATAAAAATAAAAATGTGAATAATGCTTTAAATCAAACATACAAACCCCCCAAAAGACAAAATGATGATGCAAAGACTGCAACTAACCAAATAATAAAAGAAAAAAGAAGAAAAAAAAAAATCAAGGGATTGTCCTCTAATAATGCCCCCACTTGATAAAAACCTGAGACCTTCCCTCCTCAAGGGGTTGAAGAACATATGAGAGAAAAGAAAAACAAGAATGTATTATGAGATGTTCCATGAAACCTTTTTTTTTTTTTTTGGTATAACTTTATCCCCAAAACCACCAGAAAACGACCACAACTCTTCCTCCTCTTCCTACTCCCAGGGCTTTAACCTTACCCGGGATGGTTTCACCCGCGACTCCTCCAGTTTCATTATTTACCCAAAACTCATCATTCCCCCATCCACGACTCAATGATTCCCTGACTGACCCCAGTAATGCTGATGATGCAAATGAAACTGATGACGATGATGCTGATGCTGATGCTGATGTGACTCGGCTGTTGCAGCTCTACCCCTCCCCCGACCGACTCAACCCACCCAGAGATGCATGCAGACTTTACTAAAAAGCAAAACGAATTTTTCTTTCTTATAGGCAAAGAAGAGCCTTCAAACAGATATGGCACGGGTAATGGCATGCTTCGCCCATTCGGCTGCTTCTTTAATTGTGTGGTCTTCAGAAGACAAACATTCGTTTAAGAACTCTTTACTTGACACTGACTGTTGTATCAAACCACCCACATGACTCCCTAGTGTATCTGCTAAATCTCCTAAGACCCCAATCGCTGTCTTCATCACCACCTCGTCCCTGTCACAAGGCAATTTACCACAAAATTAAACAACTGTTATGACTAATATATAAATATCAGTTGGGTAGTAAACAAACTTACATGTCTTTCTCCATGTATATACTGTCCAAAAACTGGAGGATATGGGGTGCGAAAGGAATCAGCAGCTGGGTTTTGGGGGAGTTCTTGAAACCTTGAAAGATGCCTGAATAAGCCTCAAGGATTCCGTTTCTCAATGAGTTTGTGTACTCCGTCATTTCATCATCGGCTCCAGACGAGTGAGCAGATAACTCTGCGGCGCTCTGAAGCATCGGCATTGAATACCTCCAGTACTTATCAAAATCCTCACCAATGGCAAGTGCTATGTCACCAAAACAGGAGAATATCGGTGGCTTCACTGATCGGTGCAACTGGTTGCTCGACAAATCTTTCAGAAGCTGCGTCATAATCCCATCGCAATAAGGTAAAATCTTGTCCTCTAATGCTCTGCAGATATCCCCAACAACACCCACAGTAACAGCACACACTTGGTATTCTTCAAAGTTTTGAAGACCCATTTCCAAGTACTTGTAAAACTCAGGCATGTATTTGGCAAAATTCGGACCTGCTGCATAAGCAAGAGCACCAATGGCAAGCATGGCTTCCTCATGTGCAGTTGCACTTCTACAACCAAACACCCTCAAGAAAAGTCCCATCATTTGGTCTGCATACTGCATGAAAGCAGACTTGGTTGGTTCAGATCCTAATTTCTGTATGATGACCTGCAAGCATCCACATAGAAGTCCCTGCAACTCGTTTTGTTTCTCCCTCTCATCCAATGAAAGCTTTTCCCCTTCCAAAGTATTGTGAAGCTCCAACATTATCACTGGTACTAATTGCAGAACCATGGTCGACGTTTCATCAGTCGAACACCTGACAACTTCATTCAATGCCTCATATGCTGCAGTCCGCAAGCGTGATTCAGTTGCATCCTCTCTGTGTGCAACAGCTAAAAGTGACTGAATAATTTCCTGGAAGAAGGGTGTTAACGGAGAATTGGGACCGATATCCTCATAGCCTTGAGCAAGGAAGTATAGAGCCCCACAAGCCTTCTCGGCAACATTAGGCGCATCATTCATGCTCTGGATGAGTACTGTGATAATCTGCTGGCAGTTTGCCTGGGTAATAATTGGTGTCTCGATTGTTGAACCATGAAGGAACTCAAATATCCGACCAAGGGTCCATGCGGTTGTGTCTTTCACATGGTTGCTTGGGTCATTTGTTAGAGCATTGAGCATAAATGTTAACGCTGCGTTAACAATTGCCATCAACTTATCTGCAGAAGGGCCTTCCAAAATGGAACCAAAAGCATAAGTTGCAGCTTCTCGCTCTCTCCAATCAGGCTTTGATATTTTCTCTTCAATAAACGGCATGACATGTGGTACAATGTCATCTCCAACTGCCCTGGCAACCAAACCGAGGCATGTCCCACCTGCCATTGCAATATTCCAAGCTCCTTCATCCAAATCTTGATCTTCTTCTTGCTTAAGAAGAGTCTCCAGCAGTAGAGGCACAAGCCCAGGTAGAGCCTGCTTAGTAAAATAAAAGCATGGCACATCAGAATCCCCAGCGAACTCACCACCATATTCTTCTAGGATGTCAATCTCTTCGTCACAAATAGAACTCCAGAACTCAATTGCCTGTAGAGCAACAGACTCGTCATCTTCTCTTACAGCCTTAGCCGTGATGTTGAATATATCTTGCATATAATGCGCCAACTTCTCATAGTATGTGGAAGCAATAGATACCAAACACTCAAAAGCCGCCTGCCTAATTTTCACCTCAGGGGACAGGGTTGCTTCACACACGACTCTCATGATATAATCACGCTCCATGTCGTTGTTGAAATTTGCTTGGGCGAATCCCAGAGCCATGTATAAAGCACGGGTTGCAGCAAGTCTAACATCATTATTACCTTCAGCAGCATTCATACCCTGAACAACAGCTGTGAGTATCTTATTTACATGCTCCTGTTCAACAACATCAGGTGACACTTCTTCACATAGGTATCCAAGAGTCTCCAAAGTGGCTTGCTTGACATGAGCTGGTAACTGGTGAATATTTGAGAGAAGAGACACTATGAGCTCAGGCCACTGCTTCTGTGGTAACTCAATACCTGCAACCTTGGCAATAACCTGGGATGCTGTCGAACGAACATCGGGCACAGGTGCCGATAGTGTCTTCAACAAGAATGCTCTGATCTGCGACTTTGTTGACATGTCTAGAGCCAACCATCTCTGAACAAGCTCATACTTCCTGTGTTGTTCCTTAGCATCAAGAGCATTTTTAAGGACTAAACCAGCTAATTTCCTGCTATCTACTGGCTTCTCATCGTTCGCAAGCTCTCCAGCAAGCGACAACAAGAAACCTGCAAGGTTTTGCTCCTGAAACTGCTTGAGACTTTCTTCAGCATGCTTACGTACAGTTCCATCAATCGACTGAGCATTAATGAGTAACTGGGTAACCTCCATTGCCATAGGTATATCTACAACAGAAACAATAGACAAAACTGAAAATGAAAATATGAAGAAACTCGCCTACAATCCAGCTTACGCAACAAAAAGCCACAAAGGTGAAACAACTACTAAATCACTATCGCCTGCGCCTAAAACTTAGAATCAAAAACACCATGGATCAATAAGACATCAAAGCACGAGCCAAGGCTACTTAAAAACACTATCGAATTCAACTAAAACAGCGAGAACCACAGATCCAAGCACGAAATCGAATATAAAACGAAATCAACTAGTTACTAAGAAGACCAAATCAACATAATAAATCTGACTAAAAATTGAAAAGCAAATCCTAGATAACGAACGACTTTCAAATCATAAAACAGTGAACAAATCGAAACTAAAGTTGGAAATCGATGATTGAACGAATCGAGATCGAATCAGAAAAAAATACGCGAATTGGGAACTAATGAATCTGAAGATGGATCTTATCGAGAGAGTTGAAGAGATGAAGTGAAGAAGATTACCTAGAATCTCGGCGGCGGCCGATCGGATAAAGCGAAAATCGGGGACTGGGAGAGGACAAACCCTAGAAGCCCAGAAGGAAGAGACAGAGAGAGAGAGAGAGAAGAAAAAAAACAGCGAAAAAGGGAAGAGAGAGAGAGAGAGAGAGAAGAATTGGATGTGAAGATGGACTTAAATTTTTTATTATTAAACTTTTAAGCAAATATTAAAACAAAATTGTTTTGTACACAACTAATTATGAAATTAATTTTTTTTTTTAAATTGAGATTTATTTCCAATCTTGTATTTTTTGTACTCAAATCGAATATTTAGGGTTTGTTAAGTGTATCTTATACAAATTAACCAATATATAAAAAACAATTATATAAATCTTATTTTATTATAATTATGTAAATCTTCTAAACTTGAAAATTTGTTTCCAATCTTATATTGTTTTTTTTTGGTAGGATCCAATCTTATATTGTTTGTTCAGTGTATCTTATATTTTTAATAAAAAAGGGAAATTATTTTTTCTAGATTAACCATATAATAAAAAAAGGAAAATATAATTCTAATTAAAGAATTTATATAATCTGGAGTGATTATGTCGTACTCGCGTGTTGGGTGGTCCTTATCTGAACCCCACCTTATATATTCTCATTGTTAGTAAATCAACGGTCCAGATTGTCTTACACGAGATGCGAAGAAGAACATTTTTTTATATTGAATACTTTAACAAAATTATTTTACAGATATGATAATAATGATTCAGATGGCTGAAAAACATGAAAGGGCCACGAACGAAAGAGAGAAACTTTATAGCATTTGCTGTCGAGTCCCAGATATTGTGATTTATTAATAAATTTGCAGATTAAATGAGGCAAGTGTGCAAGAGATCTCCAGCGAAGTACAATTATAGCCGTTCGCCAGGATTCTATGCAGAGAGAGAATTGTCGTTAGGTCGTGGATCATTGAAGGTGTCCGTCATCCTTATCTGAACCCCACCTTATATATTCTCATTGTTAGTAAATCAACGGTCCAGATTGTCTTACACGAGATGTAACAGTTCTCATAATTTGCAATAAATAATAAATCTAGACGTCAAACAAAAAGATATGATAATAATGATTCAGATGGCTGAAAAACATGAAAGGGCCACGAACGAAAGAGAGAAACTTTATAGCATTTGCTGTCAAAAAAAAAAAACTTTATAGCTTTATTATTGAGTTATGATGAATGATGATGATCTCTCTGGGTTCAATATATACTTTATAAAACTAGAGTTACTATATCATGTAACGTGTGTTGTTGTATGTCAAAACATAAACTTTTAGAGGAAGCAAAGATTCAGAGGAAAGGTTAAAAAAAAAAAAAAACAAGCATCTAGTTTTGTTTGACACATTTGATTAACACACAATTTAAAAACTTATAATACCCCTAATTGGAATCTTTCTTCTCTCGCATCCAAGACCACTCTGATTCACAGAGATCAAGAGGCGAGTTTCCGTCGTCATCTTTAATGGTTGTATCAGCTTTCTGCTTCACCAGAAACTCTGCGAGTGCTTCTCTTTCGCACACAACGGCATAGTGTAGAGAGGTTTGGCCTTCATTGTCCTGCACAAAGTTTGTTAGCTAAAAACACTGAAACCTGTAATTGAGAGAAATAATTGGTTTAGGGGTTTTGGTTATTTATTTACTTTAGCGTTCACATCGGCGTTCTTTTCAACCAGAGCTTCAGCAACATTAAGGTGGCCACGGTCTATAGCCCAATGCAGCGGTGTTCTACCTTCACTATCTGACAATGGAGAAACTGTGAAATTTCCAAAGCAAATCCGAACAGTTTGTGAAAATGATGCAAGTAGAGACTACTAACCTCTTGCATTTACTGGTATGCCATTTTCTATGCATTTCAGTAGATTCTCGACTTCTCCTTCTCTAGCAAAGGCGTGAATCGCATCAATCTTCCTGGAACATGAAACAACATAGAGTAAATACGCAAGAATGAACAGAGTTTCTACTATGACCTAAGGTGAGTATTATAAATTTATAATATATATAGTCCTTCTCTGATCTAGTCATCTAGTCATATAGAGAACTCGGGAAAAATGTTCTTGAAGAAACTAAAAGTTCAAAGATATTGGAATTAGTAACTAATTGCTTAGAAACCTTACAACTCATTTTCGGATTCCTCTTCGTACACCAATGAGCTAAACACCGGCCCCATGGGGCCTGCAGTATCACCACTCCGATTTCTTCTTTTCTAAAAGTCCGCAACAAAGCAAACAAGCCAAGAAATCCAGATAGAGAATTCAGAAATGAAACAGATCATCCACAATCAGTCTGAAGAAATGTAACACAAGGGTAAAGAGACAACTAACCGAGCCACCATCTACCCAAGCTGGATACAACTGAGTAACAAGCTCGATGTACTTCTCCATTGCTTCCTCAGGAGGCATAGCACCCAATTTCTGCCACGCTTGCCTATTACAAAACAAGTCTCAGTCAATCAAAATGCATCCCTAAGACCAAATTTGCAGCATAACCATAATTTACCAATCAATACAAAAAGAAAAAGCAATCCTTTTCGATACTCTCACGATGCAAGATACATCCACAATGAAGAACCATCAGTTCATCACAAGTAAACATGATCAAGTAATAATCTTCACAGTCATAAGATTGTGAATCAGATTACCAATCAATACAACAACTAAAGCAATCCTTCTCGATACTTTCGCAATGCAAGATACAAACTTGGTGACATCAAGATAACATACATCCATGATCAAGAAACATCAGTACATCACAAACATTTGAATCAGATATATCAATCAAAGTATTAGACAAACCACTTGGCACGAGCAGTCATTTTAAGAGCTGATGGTTGAGGAGCAGTACAAGGTCCTTCAGTAGCAATCTTATACAATCCATAAAGCTGAAGTTGCAATTCATTTGATACTTTCTGCGAAAGCCTGTCCGATGCAGCAGCAGCCACAAACGCCGTCGCAGCACTAAATGCTTCGTCAAGTTCTGTACTTTCAACACCTTCCCAATCATCATCGTCCTCATCTTCTTCATCATCACCTCTCAAGCTACCTTGCTCAGCTATAAGAGAATCAGTCTCGCCGCTAATCGCAGTTGAAGATTCGACCTTACGCAAGTTCTCATACTCTGATTGGGTCGTGTGGCTACGAGTGAGTGAGAGATTCTCGTCTTTAAACGCGACGAGGATAGAGATTAGCTTAGCGAGAAGGTAAGCGAAGATCAAACCTAAGATTATAGACTGTGCAAGCTGATACCAATCAGCCATTTCCCCAAATCGAATAAAGAGAGAAACCCAACAGAGATTCAAACACAACGAACTCGAAATCTGAGTAAAGGAACCCTAAATTTCAATGAAGGGTCACAAGAACGCATCTCCAGAAACAAAAAGGAGCCACCTTTTTTTCTCTTGTTTTCACCGCTTCACTAATATTTTTTACTTCTATTGTTTTCTCTTTCTTGGGCTTGTCTTTTGTTGAAGACAACAGATGATGGATGAATCACACATAAAATTCATTTAACAAATTGCACAACACAACCTTCAATTGTTTGGTTATAGATTTTATCCATTCGGTTGTTTTCTCGGTTCCGGGTTGGCTTCGTTTCGGTTCGACAAATCGTAGCTGTGTAATTTAATATAAGCATTTCACTGCTAATAATCCCAACGATATGATGCATTCTTACCATTGCTTACGTTTCTTACCTTTTTATGCATTCCACCATAATAACATGAAAGGAAAACAAAGAGAAAGAGAGCAAAAACAAGAAGCAGGAACTTAGAAATTCAAACTTAGAAACAGCCATAGAGACAAAACAAAAGGCCTTCAAATTCAGAAAGCTTTTTAACAAAAGAAAGCTACTGAAAATCCTACAAAGAAAATGTACTTATGAATCATTATTACTTTATGGACGATAATAAACAAAAACAACCTAAACTTTTACTTCTCTCCTAAACCATCAAGGTCGTTTTTTTTCCTCCGCAACTCTTCTCCCTTCATCTCTGCCATAAGTCGGACCTTTTCGCCTCTCTGTCTCTAAAAGAGCCAAATCGGTTGTCTTTCTCTCGACTTTTGCTTCAGATGAGTAAGGCTTTCTTTACCTCAGTTTGTGATAGTGTTGTGTTTCATCTGGTTAAGGTCTTGTTGTAGCTTGGCGTCTTCATCATCATCAGTTTTGCTGAGGAATTTGTCGACCTGAGCTGCAGCTTGACGTCCTTCTGAGATGGCCCAGACAACCAAAGACTGGCCTCTCCGACAATCACCTGCTGCGAAAACACCTTCCACAGTTGTGGAAAACCGGCCATACTCTGCCTTAAAGTTCGACCTGTTGTCGCATTCGAGTCCTAGCTTCTCCGCAAGTGTCTGTAAAAACAAGAACAAGCAATTGGTTTTAAATCATTTCCACAAGGCCAACAGGGTAAGAGAAGAGGGTACAACAATGACAATCACTTACTGGCTCAGGTCCAAGGAAACCCATGGCCAAGAAAACGAGGTCTGCTTCGATTATTTCCTCAGAGCCTTCGATTTCCTTGAACTGGAACCTCCCGGTATCATCCTTCTCCCAACTCACTCGCACAATTTCAAGCCCTTTCACGTTTCCATTGTCATCTCCTATGAACCTCTTGGTTAAGACCTCATAGGTTCTTGGGTCTTTTCCAAATTTGGTGGTAGCTTCCTGATGTCCGTAGTCAATACGGAACACACGAGGCCACTGTATTCAGAAGGAAGCTCATTAAAATCAACAATATCCAAACTTGCTCACAAGTCTTATAATCTAATGGATGCATAAATCTTGAAGAAGTTGCTAAAAGGATTGAGTGTATAAGATCTGAAACAAACCTGTGGCCAAGGGTTTCCAGGAGCTCTTGTTGAAGGTGGCTGAGGAAGAAGCTCTAGGTTTACAATGTTGGTGCATCCATGGCGGATAGATGTTCCAATGCAATCTGTACCGGTATCACCTCCACCAATAACGACAACCTTTTTCCCCTTTGCAGAAATGTAATTGCCATCCTCAAGATTGCTATCAAGCAAGCTTTTGGTGTTTGCATGAAGAAACTCCATGGCAAAGTGAACACCAGATAGATCACGACCAGGCACTGGAAGATCTCTGCAATATTACCCCAATAATGTCTCCGTTAGTTCACCATAATCCATTTCAAGTTCTGGTAACATAAATATAAATTCACCGTTGTTTAAAACAAATGTTACCTTGGTTTTGTAGAACCAACAGCAAGAATGAGTGCATCACTCTCTTCCTTAAGTCCATCAAGGGAGTAAGACGGGTCCTTTCCAATATTGGCATTAACCACAAAGTTGATACCTTCTTTGGTCATAAGATCAACCCGCCGTTGAACTACATCAATTTTGTCAGTCTTCATGTTTGGTACTCCATACATCATAAGCCCACCAATTCTGTCAGAGCGCTCATACACGGTTACTGAGTGGCCCATTTTGTTCAGCTGGTCAGCCGCAGCTAGTCCAGCCGGTCCACTTCCGATAATAGCAACCTTTTTCCTGCAAACCACACAGGCAGCAGAAGCATGTAAATCAACCAAATGTAAACTCTATTGAAACATAAAGATGCACTGTATGTGAAACTATATAGAAAGTATACCCTGTTCTCTTGAGAGGAGGCCTTGGTACCATCCACCCTTCCTCAAAGGCTTTATCGATAATAGCACATTCAATGCTTTTGATAGAAACAGGATTCTCAATTATTCCAAGAACACAAGAACCTTCACATGGTGCAGGGCATACTCGCCCAGTAAATTCTGGAAAGTTGTTCGTCTCAAGTAGACGATTCAAGGCTTCTTGCCATCTGTTCTGGTAGACAAGTTCGTTGAATTCAGGGATCTTATTACCGAGAGGACACCCAGAGTTCTCCTGTAAAAAAAAAAAAAATGTTGAGGATTTCATTCATGAAACACCTAGTAGCATTTTTTCCTTGACATATAAACAACAAAACCTGTCTTTGACAAGCTGCAAGAAGAAGACTTGGAAAGAAAAAAGGCATTTTATCTGAGGATATATACCTGGTGGCAGAATGGAGTTCCACAATCCATGCAACGAGCTGACTGAGTTGTAAGGAGTGGTCCAGGTTTTGATTCCTCCATGACTTCGTTCCAGTCATTAAGACGAACATTGGGATCCCTGTACTTAACTCCCTCACGCTCATAAGCAATGAAACCACCGTTTTTAACAGCATTATCTACCTGAGAAGGTTTAGCTTCAGCTGCCACTCCGTTTCCGGACACCTCTTTTGACGAAGCAGCTGCCATGTTCTTCAGCTCTGCAAAGGCGTCTTTCTCCTCAAGTTCTTTTTCTTCCATTTCGTCAGCTTCCTCAGAAGCACGCTCTATGGCTTGCTTGGAGACCTCTTCATGTTTCATGGCTGACAAAACACGTTTGTAATCTCTTGGGAAAACCTTAATAAACTTAGGCAGCAAATTCTCAAAGTCTGCAAGAACTTCTTGAGCAAGTTGGCTGTTGGTGTGTCGTTGATGTTGCTGAATCATCATTTTGAGCGACATTTTGTCTTCCTCATCTTCAACTTTATCCAAATCAACCAGTTCAAGGTTGCATCTCGTGTGGAACTTTCCGTCCACATCAAGGACATAAGCAATACCCCCACTCATACCAGCAGCAAAGTTTCTACCAGTCTTTCCAAGCACCACTACAGTACCACCAGTCATGTACTCACAACCATGATCACCAACACCTTCCACAACGGCTTTAGCACCAGAATTACGAACAGAGAACCTTTCAGCAGCCATCCCATTGAAGTATGCTTCACCACTAGTGGCACCATAAAGTGCTACATTACCGATAACGATATTTTCCTTTGGATCAAAGCTGCTTCCTTTTGGAGGGTAGACAACAACTTTACCTCCTGAGAGCCCTTTTCCAACATAGTCATTGCTATCGCCCTCAAGTTCTAGCATAATTCCTGGACACAGGAAAGCTCCAAGACTCTGCCCAGCACTTCCTGTGAACTTGATATGAATTGTATCCTTCGGAAGCCCAGCCAAGTGGTAACGTTTAGTTACCTCATGGCTCAGCATTGTCCCAACAGCACGGTTAACGTTGCAGATAGGAGTTTCAATGTACACTGGAAGAGATTTCTCTAGAGCAGATTTAGACAATGCAATCAGCTCTTGATCCAAAGCCATGTCTAAACCGTGATCTTGTTTCTGGACACAGTACTGCGCAGCCCCAGGACGAATCTCAGCAGCAGGTCTGAGCAAAAGAGAGAGGTCAATGTTCTCCAGCTTATCATTGTTCTTGACAACTTCCCTGTCAAGTTCAAGCATATCTGCACGACCAATCATCTCAGTTACAGTTCTAAAACCAAGTCCAGACATGATCTCCCTAACTTCCTCAGCAAGCATAAAGAAGAAGTTAATAACATGTTCAGGCTCCCCAGCAAATTTTTCACGGAGAACTGGATCTTGAGTAGCAATTCCCACAGGGCAGGTATTCTTGTGGCATTTTCTCATCATGATACACCCTAGTGTGATAAGGGGTGCAGTACTAAAACCAAACTCTTCTGCACCAAGAAGAGCTGCAACTGCAACATCTCTGCCAGTTTTTAGCTGGCCATCTGTCTGAAGAACAGTGCGGCCACGAAGGTCATTGGCAACAAGAGTTTGGTGTGTCTCAGCTAGACCCAGTTCCCATGGAAGACCAGCATTTTTAATACCGGTCCAGCGAGATGCACCAGTACCTCCATCATGACCTGCTATCAGAACATGGTCAGCATGCCCCTTCACCACTCCGCTAGCAATAACTCCAACACCAGCTTCAGATACAAGCTTAACACTAATACGTGCCCCAGGATTGGCATTCTATTAGAGATAAGAGAAAAGGATGTTACATGATAATGGACGGAAAACAGTGGACAATGCTTCGGAAAGTAAGAGTTGGGAGAGCATAATTAGGAACCTTAAGATCGTGAATTAGCTGGGCAAGATCCTCGATAGAGTAGATGTCATGATGAGGAGGTGGACTGATAAGCCCTACACCAGCAGTGGAATTTCTGGTTATAGCAATGTCTCCTATGACCTTGTGGCCTGGTAGCTCCCCGCCTTCCCCAGGTTTGGCACCCTGTATGGCATTAAAGAAAGTAGTTAGAAACTTAAAACAGCATTTAGATGCAACATTCACAAATTTTTGACAAGGCACTTATAACTACTTTGTGCAAAAAGTATGAGAACGAGAGAACATTATGTCAAGTCATATTTTAAGGTACCTGAGCCATCTTTATCTGCAGCTCATCAGCATTTGTAAGATAGTAGCTCGAAACTCCAAATCTTCCACTAGCAATTTGTTTGATCGAACTTCTTTTGGGGTTCCTTGAACCATCCGCAAGAGGCTCCATACGGGATGGCAGCTCCCCTCCCTCACCTTAAGCAGATCATAAACTGATGTCTTAGTATTCTTTACAAGAGAAGAAAAGGGAACTACAAAAATCATAGAGAAAAAAAACATATACCTGTATTCGACTTTCCTCC